TGCTCCTTTTTTTTTTTTTTTTTTTTTTATTTGTAAGGAAAATGGAACATTGATGGTTGATGAAATGAATGATATCAGAATCATAGGAGCTATTACAGTGGTTATACTGCTGGGTATTTCTGTTGCTGGAATGGAATGGGAAGCAAAAGTAAGGAACTCTGCTTTTTTTTTATTCTATGCCTCATAATTTTGAGTCTTTATTTAGACTTTATTTTGTAACAATCAGCAATGTCACAGTGCTGTGATGTATTAAGTTATGATCCTAGGTTTGATTAAAAAAACCCTACAAATACCTTCCCCCAAGCCACTGGCATATGTCTTTATAAGGAATCAAATCTGACAGCAGCTGAAAGGGCAGTGTCATTGCTTATTTAAATTTAAAACCCTAGCCATCTCTACGTTACTTAGATTTATCTTTACTCACACTTCGAGCACACGGGATGGTTTAAAGTACTTCCTGTACCAAGTGAGGGGTTTATAACTGTTTTCTTGAACAGTGGCTAAAAATGTAGATTGTAATGAAAAAAGTCTTGAGAAAATGAGAAATTAACAAGTAAATGTGATAGTCTGCAATTTAATAAGAGTTGAGAATATGAGAGTGTAGCAAAATAATCTGGTTCATTGCATAAAATAGCAAACAAAAGCTATGTGATTCCTCAGGTAATAAAATTCTTAGCAAATATCACATGCTAAAGTATAAGGCAAAGTATTACGATCATAGTTAATAAGGCATTTGTGCCTTCTCCTAGCATTCATGTGCATTTATCTATTCTCTTCTGAATTTGTTCAGTCTGTTCAAATCCATTCCTCCTGGGAGGCTTACAGAGAAAACAGAGTATTTTGTCTCTAGGAGTCCAGGGGTATGGTAATCAGAAATTCTTTTTTGAATGGTTGTTAAACTTAAAAATGATTCCTAGTTTTTTATTAAAAATACTGGTACACATTCTTTCTAACTTGCCTTATTTGTGGAAATAGAAGACTAAGCTGAATTTGGAATCAAGTAAATATTTACATTTTAGAACACACTATTGAAGCTTGAAACTGATAAAGAGCAAGTTGTTCTGTCTGACTGCAATCATTATGTTGCAGGCACAGATAGTCTTACTGGTGATCCTCATCCTTGCCATTGGAGACTTTGTGATAGGAACATTTATTCCTTTGGACAGCAAGAAGCCTAAAGGTTTCTTTGGCTATAAAGGTATGTTGGAACCGTTAGGATTGTAAACAGTGTCTTTGCAAAGAGGAGACATGCTGTCATAATAAAGTTAAACATTTAAAATAGCTTGTGGTTCTATTTAACAATAAAGATGTTTTTTCACTCTTATTCTTTCAAACTTCTGCCATTTTGTTCCTTGTAGCTTTATTGGACCAAAACTTGGTCCTGCCTGCTCAATATCAATTATGTTACATTTATAAAAGCTGGATGGTACTGTAAGTACTTTTTCTGGTTTTAAAGGCTATTCAAATTTACTGTGTTGACTTTTGAGTTGAAGTGATGAATTACTTAATTCTAAGTTCTACACAATTTTAAGAAGGTCATACAGCTGTGACTTCCCTGCTTTTTCATGGAGCTAATAATGGCTGGAATGGGCTAATGCTGTAGCTTTTATATGACTATTGATAGACTTAAATATTTTTCTACAGCTGAAATATTTATGGAGAATTTTGGACCGGATTTCCGACAAGAGGAAACTTTCTTTTCTGTATTTGCCATTTTCTTCCCTGCTGCAACTGGCATACTTGCTGGTGCAAATATCTCAGGTGATCTTGCGGTGAGTAGTGAATTGGCAAACATTGTTCACAAACACCGAATGTACATCTACCTCTGTAATCACTGTCCACTGGCATTTTTCTTTCAGGATCCTCAGTCAGCCATACCTAAAGGAACGCTGTTGGCCATCCTAATTACTACATTGGTTTACATAGGAATTGCAGTATCTGTAGGTAAATAGAGAATGTTTTTAACTTTATCCTTTCACTTTCATTCTGAGGGTCTGTTTTGAAGTAGTTCATGTAACTTACGTAACTGACTTTCATGTGTGAGAAAGTAATAGAGGTCTCTTTTTTTATTGTTGGAGATTCAGTTTTCAGCTGGTTTTATAATTAATTAAAACGTGATATTTTTTAATACTAGTTTTTCAGACTAGAGAAAAGACTTCATATGGATGTTTCCTGTTTGTTGCAGTTTTTTATACTAAAAGGTTTACAGTTTAGCAATGGGATAATCCCTAAATTAGAAAAGTAGCATCTCAGAAATAACTGAACAAATGCTTGTTTGTTTGAAGAGGATATTAGTTATCTACTTTTATGTGAAGTGAATTGTGGAATGATCAAACAGCTCTTCGGTGAGAATGCATGAGCGTAATTCCTCAGTAGAGGGAGAAGAGTGAGTGGTGTTCATCACTTTCAGAAGTGCTGTGCTCAGAAACATTGTTTGCAGTTTTATTTTCATGTGGAAAGAGGAAAAGCAGTCAGATTGACCTCTGTATTACAACTTCTGTTCCTGGTCTTCCCCACCCCATAGTGGTTAGAAATTCTTTGTATAAGTTGCTCTGGGGTTTGATGCTGTCTGTATCAGTTGTGATCTAGGGAACCAATGGTCAATCAGACTCTTGCCACTCAGAAAATAATTATGTTCTAGTAGTCTTAAGAACATAAGATTGTAATCTTATGTCACCTATGATTGTGTTTCTTGCCTATGATGGGAAACATTTTTATTCGTGTCATAAAATTTCTTTCTGGCAGCAGTGATTAGTTTTCTTATATTAAAGACCTTGTTTTAGCTGTGCTACTTTTTGAATAAAATTATCATTTTTAAGAGTACCATTGATCTTGCCACTAGTGGTATTTTTCCAAAGGTACCAGTCGTTCTAGTCTGCCTCTGTTGGCTAACATTGTACTGCAGCTCAGCCAAATAGTTGGTCTGTAGTAATTGTGCTTTATGCAGCTTAATGACCTGTAAAGTTTTCTGACTTATCTTCTTCTGACCACTTGCCCAATATAGAATGGTATCACCATTAATGGGCAGACCAGCAGCCAAACTCCTCCCTCCCCTCCCACATCACCCACCAGAGATCCAAAGCACTGGACAAACAGAGGGAAGAACAAGTCAATGCACCCGCCCACAGCAGGGGAGATGAAGGGAGCAAGCTGGGCAAGGAGCCAAGCCATGGGAGATGGTAGCAGCCAGGCCCTGAGCCCAGTTACATAGCAGGGACTGAGAGGGGGCTTCTTGTTCCAGCCCTGCCATCCTGGAAACTCCGCTATGCCGTGAAGAGTTGGGGAGCGCTTCCAATAGCCAGAATCCTCACTCGGCACATACACTGTATAGGCAGACCTCCCAACCCCACTGCAAGCAGGGTCAGCTCTTATAGAGATGGCTTCCTGGCCCACCTCCAAGTTAATGTGGAAGGTGGGGGCACGTGGTGCTGATCTCATCAGTTCCCACCCAAGACTGGCCAGACACTGGGTGAAGACCAATCAGGAGGATCTTTCTTGCCTGGTTATGGACATCATCCATATGCCCACCCTCATTAAGGGCTGGGGCTTTAACCCCACACTTCATATGAGGGTTAAATAAAATGTCTGGACTCTTACTAAGTATCTTCTGCTGAGAGCAGAACCTGCCTGGCTGTCTTCTGTTCTGCATTAGCTCACAGTGTGAGCCTCACTAAGTTTGTTCATAGTGCCATTGTCCCTTTTTGTTGTTCTTTGACTCTGTGTGTGAAAGACCTTGCCAGCCAATTGGATCTGAACTATGAAAAAGGGAATGAGGAAGAAGGCTCTGATAGTGCACTGTAACTGTTTAATGGGTTGCTGAACTTCATGGATCTGCCACTGCAGTATATTACCAACAAAATGTTATCTACCTATAGTTCAACTGTAGTTATATCCATTGAGTACTCCTTGAATGACTGGGGTGAATACTTACGTAGTTTAAGAGAAGAAACATTTTCTCATACAGAGCTTTTAATCCCATTTAAAGCAGAACAAAAAACCTCAGCCCTTCCCCATATTCAGAAGAAAAGCATAAGACATGGTCAATATAGGATACTTTTACTGAAATTTAACCAGTTGGGCTCAATAAGTAACTGAAAAATAAATCTGAAAATTGGAAGAATTAAGTGATGTCCACCTGCTAGGGCCAAACATTATTGTGGACTGTTAATCCCATGGCTCAGAAGCAATCTAGAATCATAAACCATTAAGGTTGGAAAAAAACTTCAAAATCATTAAGTCCAGCTATCAAACCAACACTACTATGACCACTACACTGTGTTCTGAAGCGCCACATCCACACCTTTTTCTGAACACTTTCAGGGATGGTGACTCCACCACCTCCCTGGGCAGCCTGTGCCAATGCCTCACCACTCCTTCAATAAAGAAAGCCTGTTTCCTATGATCCTATTGGTAGTTACTTAGGAGAAAAGACCAACACTCACCTCACGCCAATCTCCTTTCATGTAATTGTAGCCCACAACTCCAGTCTCCTCCAGGCTAAACAACACCATCTTTCTCAGTTGCTCCTCCTAAGACATGTTCCCCAGACCCTTCACCAGCTTCATTGCCCTTGTTTGGACCTGCTCCAGCACTTCCATGTCTTTCTTATAATGTCGTGCTCAAACACTAAACTGAGTACTCGAGCTGTGGCCTCCCCAGTGCCAGGTACAGGGGCACAATCAATTCTCTACTCCTTCTGTACACACCAGTTTTGATACAGGTCAGGTATCTCACTACTCTTTCAGTAAAGAAATTCTTCCTAATATCCAATTGCAAACTGCTTAATCTTTTTGCATGTCTGAACATAATGATTAGAAAAGAAGTAACTTCAACACTATACACACCTGTCTACATGTATCTGTAGTCCTCTAGGAGGAAAAGGAAAAAGGTAGCACTCTAGGAAAACTGACAAAGAGAAACTATAAAGTCAAGTGATGGTGCATAATGCGGAAGTTCATCATATAGAGGAATTGCTGAGCAAAAATTTTGCTATTGTTAAACTTGTGTGGGTCAGTTGACGTTCTTTTCATCTGTGCTAAAGCTTTCCTTTTCTTAGTAGATTCAGATTTCTTCAGAACCTGAAGATCATCTCAGGCAGGAGACAAATTAGTTTGTGTGTTTGTATTTGTTCTTCATAGTGAAGATGTGCTTAATACTGAAATGTATTTAAAAATGGAGATGCGGTATTTAAGCGTTGCTGTACATAAAAAGGGAATGGGGCTTGGCACTTGTTCTTAAGTTCAGATTGAGTCTACTAATGCCTTTTTTTTTTTTGGTGATTGTGTCAACTCCAGGTTCATGTGTTGTTCGAGATGCCACAGGGAACTTCAATAATACCATTGTCACTGAGCTGACAAACTGCACTACTGCAGCTTGCAAGTTAAACTATGACTTCTCGTCCTGTCAGACAGGGTGTCAGTATGGGCTGATGAACAATTTCCAGGTATAAAACTTTATCCTAAATACGTTTATTGGTTTCTGTGTTTGTTCTTTCTGAATTGCATGTTAAGAAAAATCATAGGCTAAAAATGCCTATTTCCATAAATACAATACTTATCTGGAATAGTTAAGTGGTATACTCTAGCTTGTCTGTAGAAGAACAGTGTAACTGTTAAAAACTTTGTGTTTATATACAAGTGATATAAATATTTATTCTTCTGAGTAAACTGCTTAGGTGTGGAGACTGCAGCTTTCTCTCTTGACTATCTGAGTGGCATTCAGTGATTCAGAAGACCAGAATCACTATGGTTGGAAAGGACCTTTAAGATCATCAAATCCAACCATTACCTAACTCTACCAGGCTACTTCTACATCATATTCCTGAGCAGCCCACATAGACAGCTTTTAAATACATCCAGGGATGGTGGTTCAGCCACTTCCTTGGGAAGCCTGTTCCAGTGTTTGATCACCCTTTGGTGCAGAAGTTTTTCCTAATATCTAACCTAAACCTGCCCTGGCATAACTTAATATCATTTCCTCTTGTCCTGTCAGTTGCAGCAGGTAAGAAGAGGCCAACACCCACCTCCTACAACCTCCTTTCAGGTAGCTGTAGAGAGCTACAAGGTCTCCCCTCAGCCTCCTCTTCTTCAGGGAACTGAACAACCCCAGTCCCCTCAGCTATTCCTCATGAGACTTCTCCTCAAGACCCTTCACCAGCTTTGTTGCCCTTCTCTGTGCTCTGTCTAGAACCTCAGTGTCCTTGTCCTGTGGTGCCCCAGAGTGAACACAGTACTCAAGCTGTGGCCTCACCAGTGCTGAGTACAGTGGGACAGTCACTTCTCTAGTGCTGCTGACTACACTGTTCCTAATACAGGCCAGGATTGGCCTTCTTGGCCACACTGCTGGCTCATGTTCAGCTGGCTGTCAGCCAGCACCCCCAGGTCCCTTTCTGCAGAGCAGCTTCCAGCCACTCCTCCCCAGGTGTGTGGCGGTGCCTGGGGTTGCTGCGGCCCAAGCGCAGGACTCGGCACTTGGCCTTGTTAAAGCTCACAGGGCTGGCCCATCGCTCCAGCCCGTCCAGGTCCTCTGAAGGGCCCCCCTGCCCTCCAGCAGGTTCAACTCACCCGCCTGACTTGGTGTCACCTGCAAACTTACTGA